CGTATTCTTACCATCTGACCTGAAAGACCATCATCATACAAACTGATCGGTTTCGTTAAGAAGCGGGGTTCATTTGGTCGAGTGTGAATAGATGGGAACCACAATAAGCCCTTGTGGGATGCGGTGGCGGGTCGAATAGATCCACTCACCTTGGACCTAACCTAACCTAACCTAATAGTAAGGGAACATTTAGATGCAGTATTCCCAAGGAAATGGATTGGAAACAATGGACCAATTAACTGGCCAGCTCGATCCCCAGATCTTAGTCCTTCAAATTTTTTGTCTGGAGATACATAAAGGATGAAGTTTTTTCAACATCAAGTACAGATATCGACCATCTCAAACAACAAATAAAAGATGCATGTATTAGTATTATACCTATTATGCTAGAAAATTGCCACAGAAATTGTCTGGACCGACAACTTATGTGCATTATGTGCATCATGATAAAATAAATTGTTTTTCTGTTTGATTGTGGTCACTGATGATGGTGGTTATTTCAAATGAAACGCTATAAAAATATCAAATGTGATATACCCTTGGATTGTGAATTTATTGCTTTATCGACATCTGCAATAAAAAAGACAGGTCCGTATCGAAAAAATAGTTAATGGTGGCCATGTTGACACAAAACGTTTTATAGAGTATTTATTATTATATCGTCATAGTACACTTCGAATACAATAACAAATTCCTTTTCCATTTCCATTTTCCGATCATTGTATTGTTCGCGATGACAGTTACCTTTTTTCTCTTTTAATCGTCTTCGTATCTGTTACGGTTTAGAATATAGCAATGTTACCACAAGATAAAAGAAACGGCATGTATATTATATTATGAGAAATATTCATTCAAGTGAATAATGGTGATCTATAAAATGTTCATGTAAAAACATTGCAGAATTTTTTGAATCAAATTACCAATTGGACCTTGAAAATTAATTGTAGAAAAGAAAGCGAAAACTGGTAATTGTTCATCAACTGTCTTTGTGCCCCAACCTGTATCGAAAGCTACCTTTACACGCACAACACCGAAATCCATCTTGATCACTTACTACAAAATACAACAATGAAACGGCAAAAATTCCCGTTGTGAACGATTTACTCGAATATTCAGAATAACTGGCCTTGCGGCAGTCTCCAGTAGTGAAAGAGGTTGGCGCTGGGGCATTTAATATACCTCGTTATATAATTAATCAAAGAGTCATATTAAACAGTAGCGAAGCGTATTCTTCTGATACTCCAGCTAAACATCGCATAGAGGAATGCAGGGAAAAGAAAGATTGTTCGAATATTTCGATAAATATTCTTGGTTGAATACATCTTGTATTTTATTCTCTTTCCTGAAGATTGTGACTTTGCCTGATACAGGTAGCAATTTGTCTCACTCGATGAATGAATTTCAAGAGGTGAGGGTATGAAAAAGATTTGATGAATTGAATTTGGAAGCTCTAGCGTAAAATGAACCCGTTGAAAAAAGTTTTCCACACTAGACTCAGTCATCTTCTGATGACTAACTTGGTTAGCGAAACACGCGTCGAGAGACACTAATCACTAATCTATTCGAAAAATGTAGGATTTCTAACAGATCTACTGTATAAGGAATGTTCTGTTATGGACCTCCAACAGCTAGACTATTTTTGTATAAATGTAAAATATCACTTTAGTGAAAATAAAGCACTAATCTGAAATCACAAGTATAGCACACGACATCGTGAAGAAGTCACCCAGTTACATTCATATTAGAAAATGACAGGAATTTCCTAATGAACTTCTAGATTAAAGTTCATAAAACAGGAGCTACAAAAATATTTATTCATTTTGTATTTTATCTATTCATCTTCAATATTTGATCATGTTATTTCTCCTGCAACATAATATCATCATAGTATCACCTATACTGTTAATCTTAACTATTTCATTTCAACTTTTTCTATTATGTTATTAATATATTATTTTAACCATTTTATTATGTTTCAAATCAACATTTATATTTTTCGTGTCACAATATTATTGTTAGAAGGCTAGTCAAATTGGGTTGAATGCCCATATTTGGAAAATCTATCTAAAATCTAAATCTAAATCTAAAATCCTAAAATGTTAGAAACGGTTTCAGACATATTCAGTTGGAAAAAGAAACGGACACTTTAATTTTCTTTGTTTTGGCTTTTTATTAGCTATAATATTTTTCATAAATCTAGCTAGTTATTTCATGGTATTTCTAGTGATGATTTTTTCAAGCAAAATTCTTCGAAAAAAACATTTCTAATCACTTCTACATTCGTAAGAATTGCATTTGTAACTGGAAGAGATGCAGTTGGATGACTCCCTAGCCCTAGATCTTCTTAAGCCAGTGGACTTCTATTTCGCGGGATATCTTGTGAATACAATTATGACATAATTTCGAAAATTATTCAGCTGTAAAAAAATTCATCGACTAATTTCTATAACTTGTAGGATCCTCGTTACGAATTTCTGAGAAGTGTGAATTTGAAGTTCCCATATATGAACGAAGTTCAATCCACTTCAGAACGTGTGTACAAATCTCCCACTAGTTCTTTCGGCTCATTCACCAACTGGGACGAGTGTACTAGCTTGTGTGAATGAGCCTCAACAGAGAGTTCAGTCACTCATTTCCTACCGAGTATTAATTACATGTGTACAAATCTCTCCCTAGTTTTTTGGCCCATTCATCAACTGGGACGAGTGTACTAGCTTGTGTGAATGATCCTCAACAGATGGTTTAATCACTCATTTCCTACCGAGTATAAGTTATGTGTGTACAAATCTCTCCCTAGTTCTTTCGGCCCAGTCACCAACTGGGAGGAGTGTACTAGCTTGTGTGAATGAGCCTCAACAGAGAGTTTAGTCACTCATTTTCTACCGAGTATCAGTTACATGTGTAAAAATCTCTCCCTAGTTCTTTTGGTCCATTCACCAACTGGGACGAGTGTACTAGCTTGTGTGAATGAGCCTCAACAGAGAGTTTAGTCACTCATTTCCTACCGAGTGTTAGTTACGTGTGTACAAATCTCTCCCTAGTTCTTTCGGCCCAGTTACCACCTGGGGCGAGTGTACTAGCTTGTGTGAATGAGCCTTAACAGAGAGTTTAGTCAATCATTTCCTACTGAATAAACAGAGAGTTTAGTCAATCATTTTCTACTGAATATCAGTAACGTGTGTACAAATCTACCCCTAGTTCTTTCGGCATAGTCACTAACTGGGACGAGTGTACTAGCTTGTGTGAATAAGCCCCAATAGAGAGTTTAGTCACTCATTTCCTACCGAGTATTAGTTACGTGTGTACAAATCTCTCCCTAGATCTTTGGGCCCAATCACCAACTGGGACGAGTGTACTAGCATGTGTAAATGAGCCTTAACTGATAGTTTATTCAATCATTATTAATCCATATTTACATATACATGAAAAATAAATAGTTTAGAGCAACTCAGATGAATGATGGAAAATTAATAAACAGATTTGACATTCAGTGTTGCACTGCGGAATATGACTTGAGTAAAGGCAGACTTTGCTTCATTCTCGAAGATTTTTATTTTTATCAACATATTTTAATAACTTGTTGTGTCTGAAAATTGAGGTCAGAACAAGATCAGTTTTTATCAAAATGAGATAATATTTGTTTATAGGTTGTGGACAAATTTCGGTAATTTTAATAAACATTGAAAAATAAAATTAGAGTTGATTCAATTCATATTAAAAAACATTTATTTATTTATATAGCGATTATTAAATTCGTTATTTCAATCGTATATGTGATAATTTGGTGCACGTCGAAAGACAGTGTCTTAGTTCTGGTGAGAGGAAAGTATTTTAAGTAAAGAAAAATTACATTGCTTTCTTCCTTTGTTTTCCACGTTTTACGTTACAATTAGAGAACCACCCCGGCTCCGCATGGGTGCAATGCTGATACTAAATATACATATAAACGCACCCATGCGCTATTTCCAGACATGCGCCACCGATTTCCCTGCCGGTACCACCGCAACCGCTATGCCCTGCTATTTAGATCCGTAATACTTTCCAAAATATTAATTTAAATCATATGTTGTAGAGGTTATATTGATCTACATTAAATGAACAATGTATTTGCTGAATTTGGAAGCTCTAGCGTAAAATGAACCCGTTGAAAAAAGTTTTCCACACTAGACTCAGTCATCTTCTGATGACTAACTTGGTTAGCGATACATGCGTCGAGAGACACTAATCACTAATCTATTCGAAAAACTTTCAAAAAATTGACCGTGGTTAACGCCATAGTTGTGTAATTTGTAACAGGCTTTTAAAATGAACCGTCGTATACAGGATGCTGTCTATTCATCGTTTTAGCAATTTTTTTTCCATAGTCCCCATTCAAAACAAAAATTGGTAAAAATTAAAACTTCACTTAGATGGCCATAACGTCAAAGCTAGATATATTTTTCAGTGCTGAACAACTTTTCTAAATAATATTTCCCGAAATTTTCCAAAATAAGAAAGAGTACTTTACTCTAGTCACAAAATCAAATGTTTGAAGGCTCCTCATATATTACATGTGTTGTACTGTATTTTGTTGGTGCATGTTTAGTTTTAGGGGATGCACAAACTTTTATCAGGACTAACTTTTTCTCGAAAAACCCTTAATGAATAAGTTTCCCATATGGTGCATACTTTGGGGATGACACGTAGTGAAGATGTATGGAGAAGTAGAAAGCAAAACACTTTTTTTACAAAAACTAATCTCTCTTGAAAATATCTTTCATATTTCATATCGATCTAGTAGTTGATTATGAAATATGAATGAAGAAATTTTGTTGTAATCGATATCGATCATTGTAAATTGTACTACTTTTGAAGTAATGATCAATATGTATATCAATAACAGGTGTATTCGGAGCAAACCAAGAGCTGAGATGAACATTGTAAAATCAATGAATTAATTATATTTCTGAAAGAAAAAAGATACTAGAGTAGATACAAAAATTAGTACCTAATGGACTCACCTGTAATAATCTTTTTTACAGTAAATATTGCCGTCTCTAGAAAAGCAGGTGATATCTCCATCCAGATTCTTCCTGCACTGACAGCACTGTAGACAGGAAGTGTGCCATCTTCTTTCCACCGCTTGGAGGTAATACCTGTCCGTTATTCTACCACCACAACCAGCACACCCCGTAACACCGTTTTCATCTACGCAACTAGCGGTAGGAGAGGAAGGAGGCGTCGAGGACTGCAAGGGCTCTATCTTTGGTATGTGCTGTTCGAAGGAGGAATGAGGTCTGCAGAGCTCTGCGGGAGTGACGGAATGAGGAGGATGTTGAGGTTGATGGCTAGAACTATGGGGAGGCCTGCAGATCTCTGAGCCACAAGATTGATGGTTATTGTTGGAAGGAGTGCTGCAAGAACTGCCGCTGGAAACGCTATGTTCTGGGTCCCCCATTGACGAGTCACACGAAGGAAGATTCGGCGAAAGGTCGCGGGATGGGTCGTAGGCCGGGCCAATATAGTGTTCGTGCTGCTGCTGTAATGAGAAAAATTAAACTTTTATTAATCCATTTATACATAACCAAAACAATAATTGGCTGTCATAAAATAATATTCACTTTTTTATTCGTTAAATAAGTGACGAATGAAAATGATTGCAGTTAGAATTAGTTTTCTCATCGACCACCTACCGTCACCTTATCCTACTTTTGAATGACTTGCCCATAATACAATAGGGGGTTGTAGCACCAGAGATACTCAGGAAAGGATATTGGAAAGGTATTTGGATACGCATAATACCATAATCCTCAATACTGGCGAATATAACTACCCATCTTTATAAATCCACAGAAAAAATCTCAGCGATAGACCTCTCAATCTGTATCAACACATAATTTCAAATGGAAAGTACTTCCAGATTTATTTGTAAGCGACCACTTTTCGATCTTACTATCAAGTCAAGTTTTCCAAACAAATAATTCGCGGCCCAATCGTTGGCTAAAAATAGAAGCTGATTGGTACAAGGGGGTCATTTAAATTCCATCATCCGACGCAGATGAAGATATTTCAACTCGCCTGGATAATATCACCAAAAGTATCAGTATGACAGCAAAAAAGCAATTCCCCAATCTGCAGAAGTATTGATGAAGAAACGAGTCCCTTGATGGAATGCCAACATAAAAGTAACTGTACAAGAAAAACCTGAATCCCTCAGATTATTCAAAAGAAACTCATCTAATGAAAACTTTATGAATTTCAAGAACAGAGCTGAAGCAAAGCGTCAGATCCTACAGTGTAAAAAGGAAAGTTGACAAGAATACGTCCCTTCCTTATCATCGTCAACACCGCTGGGAGAATTATAGAATGCAATTGAAAGTTTTTGGAATTTGAAGTTTTTGAAAGAAAGGTTTTGGCTTTCTACTTCTCTATCTCTATACAAGAAATATGGGAATTTTCCAGCAGTGTTGACGATGACAAGAAAGAGATGTACTTTTGCCAACTTTCATTTTTAGACTGAAGAATTTGTCGCTTGGCTTTTGCTCTGTTCTTCTTGAAATTCATAACTACAAAACGGAAAACACACTTTTTTAAAATCTAAATGGTTTTCTTCACTTTCTTACCTAAAATGACACCGATGATGTTGGTATTAGAGGAAATGAAAAGGCAGACAAGTCTGCGAAAACATCTGCCAGGGAACCTGAACCAGAAGATATTCCAATCAATGTTTTGTATATTCGCATGCTCATCATGAGTTACACGAATACTGGCGAAACCTCTGTAGAACATCCAACTCAAAACTGTCACAGATCAAAAAGACAGTTGATAAGTGGAAATATCCTGTTGATCTAAATTGCCACGACCAAGTTAACTTAGCTCGTCTAAGATAACAGCATACCAAATTAACCTCATCATATCTGCTCAAAGGTGAAAATCAACTGTATGTGAGTGATATTTGTCATACACCGTTATTCGTTGAGCATATACTTGTCAGTTATCTCAAGTATAGAAATGTCAGAGCCTAATTGAACCTAGTAGATGACTCGTCAGTGATTCTTTCCAACGACCATTCGTGCTACCGAAAAGTATTGAAATTTTGCGATGTTATTGGCATATCTGAACAAATATGATCACAAATTGAGAGATTCGCGGCGAAATGACCCCAACAGTCGATGACGTCATATCACAAAAAATAAGCCCATGAGAAAGTAGTGTTTTCTGGAAACTTAAAAGAAACAGATTAGTCAAAAATGCACTAGATGGGAGTTTGACAAACGTTATGACGTTATTTATATGGTGTTATTTTGTTGAACACATTCAATTGAGATAGATATCCAATCAAGTCAACGCATTCCCGATCTCATTTTCCAAAAAACTAATAAGACTAAAAAATAAAAGTCATAATTTTCCTAGATAAATTACCATTTACATCAAGATGTGGATCGACAAACTAATCATTTATTCGATGTCATGCATTTGATAGATCATTATCAATATGAAGAACATAAAGTGGAAAAAAATTATGATTTAATATCTGTAATAGCATAACAACTCTCTTGATCAGATGATGTCTTTAATATATTATTTTCAAAAGGTGTTTTCTGATATGCTTTCATGACCAATAACGAAAAAAAATGCAAAACACGATGCGCGGCATATTTCTTCCCAATACATAACAGAATTCACACTTTTGTTTGAAGGTGACTGACAATGTTTAATAGTGAATTTATTAGTTCCCACTTCCATTGTCTAATATGATATAAAGAATCATAAAATCAAAATGAATAGCTAACAATTATATTAAGCAGAAAAACCCTGAAATAAAATCACTATAAAATAAAATACAAGCAACAATTGAAAATTTAATAATGAAAAGAAATAAAAATTTAAAGATTTCAAGCCAAGATATTGTGAAGTAACTTATCTATCGTGTGGATTGACACAATGAAGTAATTTTCATTGCATAGAGGTAGATCTTTTACTGGACTAGGTGACGAAGTCATCATGCTCAGTGCTAAAAGTTTGCTAAGTTATTTGGTTTTTTACTGCCCCAGACCAAACTGACAGGGTGATTTGAATTATGTCTTTTAAGAATTCTGCTTTTGTAGGTAGTAGGTACAACAGTAAAACGGATGTGAGAGAGACAAATCTGTAGTCAGTTCCAAAAGACTTTGGACTCATACCTACCAAAATGAAATACTCCCCTTAGGTAGGGTCATCTCGTCCGTTTTCAAACTCATATTTCCTGCATATTTTCAGGTGTATCGACATGCAATTTCAAAAAACAAATTGTTGACAGTCTCAGAAAATCTCAAAACAAACTAGGAAAAAACATTTAGTACAAAAAAAGGACATTTATCCCTAAGACCTGGTTCAGTTTCTCATTGTTGTAAAGAATCCAGAGTGAGATAGTTTAGTGAGATACAGGTAGTCATTTAAGGAAAGTAATCAGCCAATAATAAGAGTAATGGGTCAAGATTCGAACCGTGTGCACTCTCGATATGGTTGAATAGTATTTGTCCAACGAATCATTTGAATCACAAAATTGGTCTGATCTTAATCATTCTGAAAGTCAAAGTAAATACATCAATTTGAGATCTCTGGTTGAGTGGTCTGCTAACAATTGTGATAAGATAAATTCGTTAATCAGGAGTTTTCATTTTGAAAACAGAGTATAACGTAGTTTTGAGATATTTTGATGAAATACACAAAAAATGTACCAGTCGATGAAGGAAAATGAAAATTTACAACCTATTTCAACACTTGAAACGGTATTTTCTAAATAATAAAAAATCGAAAACATACTGTCACGATTTTTTGAAATGATATCTGGAATTAATATCAACAATTGAATATATCAAACTACTTAAGATAACTAATAAGGTTTTTCATCTGGTATTTTAACCTTCGAGTCGTAGATTAGAGTTCTTCAACTGATACTATGAACTTTCAGATTATAATAATCAAAGTAAACAAACGATATATCATTTCACATATTTGTTCGTATTAACATTTTGCCTACGTTAGAGAGCATGTATATCTGCAATATCGACTATTGACTTTGAGCAGTATTTGTAGAAGAAAGAAGAAACTCGTTCACCACTCGTGGTCCTTGCCGCGCACTCAACGTCTATGAACTCGCTCCGGTTTTGCATGCAAGAATCCAGATATACGTTGTTTTGTAAAAGCTACCGGATGACCAGTCAATGAATTATGAATCTGTTACTCCCTTTACTGAGAATAGAAAATGCAAATCATCGTGTCCTTTATCTTTATAAATCATCGGGTAGTAATAAGCCTTCGTGAATTTATATACTTGTAGAAAACTCATTGGTGTATTTAATTTATTGCGATGATACAATAAAAAACCATTAAGCTTCTTGCTACGTAATGTATCAATGATTATGGTAGTGTAGGTACTTATCAACAATTGTCAATTATTGAACTATGTTTTAATGAATTCCATGTACAGATAAGGTAAGATAAACACCGATTCAGAATACAAAATGCTTTCTTGAGAGATCGCATTTGTGACATACTTCGCAAATGGGAGCATATATTGGACAATTATATGAGGAATGAATGGTTGAACACCTGAATGAACGTTCTGTTGTTAGTACCCGTAGTTTCTTTTTTGTGAACTTACCAGTGCTTTTCCTGGCCTTTCCTCTTACTTTTACTTCTGTAGTTTTTCCAGATTCAACTCCACCATCCATGTCTTCATCCTTATTCATATTAATTATATCATTCATAAGTTCTTGTTGATATTGTTATTTTTTCAGGTTATTGTTTGTTGTTTACTTGAGCTGGGCTCAGTGTTGATTAGCAAAACATTCACTTGTCTGCCGGAAACAACTACTTTCTCGACTAACATCACGATGGACATATCTCACAGACATTTACGGAAAATACCTCACGGTGGCTTGCAAACGCTTGTCATTTTCGAAGTATGCCTGGGATTTACTAGATCCTGCAGCAGGAATTTACTAGATCCTGATGTGTAGAAACGTTGGGAGATGTTTCAAGGTTTTATTTCAAAATGTTAATTTTTTATGTCATACCTACTAGTCAGTGTAACTGAATAGTTTCTTTATTGTACATTTTATGCTAATCATGAAATTATGAAACAACAACAAAAATTAATTGGCGCACCGGGGCGACTTCTTTGATTCCAGTGGCGCATTTGTTTCTCAACTACAGGAAAACCCGGAAAAGCCTGCAGCACCACATCTTCTGAAGATCTTGATCTGCCAATCTCCTCTCTTTCATAAAACAAAATGATCATCATCATCATTAAAAGATCCATCAGTGTTATTATTAGATTGACTAGTGTCTCCGCTTTACTTGTTTTATTATAATAGTCTTTTAGTTTGGTGTATGTTTGGCAATACAGTTGATCATCACCCGTTAAAAGTTCCATTTTCAGATGATTTAACAATAAGCTCTGCACGGACTGGTTATCAGTCATACGCTAGTTGAAGTCCAGAAAATCACGTACGTTTTTGCTACCTCTTGAACACTCACTACAAAGAAATCAAG